ATGTACTAAAGCAGAGAAGATGCACTTGGCCCCTAAGAACACTAGCATCTTAAATTTAAGAACATCTTATAATTAAGAACATAAGCATCTTAATCAACTGAGAAGGACTGCTCAGGACAGAAACCAAAATAAGGACAAATTTATCTTCACTGAGTGAATGATGATTACTAGTCACACAGTATGAGATGCTGCACCAGTCCTATTTTCATAAATTATCTGGAACACAGCTGTGAAAAAATTTTACAACTGATGCAAAGTCTATCACTTTTCAAATTTGCACAAAACTTTAAAGGAACAGTTGAACAGTTGTTCTGCCCATATGCTCTGAGAAAAAACAAAGTATAGATAATATGACAGGGAAAATATTCTAAATCGAAAGTCAATTCAAACACATTATTCCAAGAAACTACTGCAACATCTGACAGGGAAATTTGTGAACACAAATAACACTAACTACGAGCTACAAAGACGGTGAAGGGCCTGGAAGGGAAACCATACATGGAGCAGCTGAGGGCACTTGGTCTGCTCAGCCTGGAGGAGATTGAGGTCAGACCTCATCAGGGTCTGCAGCTTCCTCACAAAGGGCAGCAGAGGGGCAGCACCAATCTCTGCTGCCTGGGAGCAGTGAGAGGAGCCAAGGGAATGGCTGGAGCTGTGCCAGGGCAGGGTTAGGGTGGATCTCAGGAAAAGGTTCTTCCTCCAGAGGGTGGTTGGGCACTGAACAGGCTCCCCAGGACACTGGTAACGGCCCCAAAGCTGCCAGAGCTCAAGGAGCACTTGGACAACACTCTCAGGGACAGGGTGGGATTGCTGGGGTGTCCTGGGGGGGGGGGGGGCAGGAGTTGCACTGGATGATTCTTGTGGGTCCTCTCTCACTTAAGATATTCCATGATTCAAAACATCTGTTAAGGCCATTTTCGGGAGTCAGACACCATTAACAGATTATCAAAGCTGACTGACCACAGTAGAAGGACAAGTGAAATACTGAAGGCATAAAACAGATCCCACTCCATTTTAAAATCAGCAGGAGGTAAACACTTATGGAATGGTATCACCTAAAAGCAACACACAAAAGGAGAAATATCCTGCTGAGTTGCTACCACCTCTTACTACAAAAAGCCACATCCAAGGTACTACATGGAAAGATTACTGATGAGTGCTAGAAGCACACTGCCACAGAAAGTAACTGTGCAACCTCTCTCCTTCAGTCCTCCACTTCCCACAAGCCTGTGAAATGCTTCCTGAATAAAACTGGTAATCACTTTAGGAGTTACAGCTAAATTCGGTCTGAAAGTATCACATAAAAAGTGAAAAGGTTGACTTCAAAACAATCGACTGCTTGAAAACTTTTGCAAGCATTCCTTTTTATTGTCCTCCCCAAAATATTTGGAATATTAGTCTTATTCAGCTGGTTTTGTTTACTCACAAACTACTCAATATATTTTCCTTTTATTTTTCCCGCAGTTCTGATTGTCCTTGTGTATTTAAAATAGCTGAAAGCAATACATTAAAACCTAGGAATAAATACTTCTAAAAACTGGTTCAATATAAAGCAACCTTTATAACTTCTCACCAAATTATCTGTAGACTGTAGAGCATGCAACTGGCCTTGGCACAAATAGGCTCTGCCAAGAAACTGGTTCACAGGATATCTTGCTTTAAAATACATCCGTAGACAGTCACTGCTCATTTCTGGATATCCCATCTAAGACCCAAAAAAGCGCATTTTAATAGTTAAGAAAATGCAACAAACAACTAAGAATTGTTAGCTTCTAAAAATGCATGCCTAAGCAAAGGGTAACATCCAGCTGCACACCAGTATGCAAGCAATATTACACAAATATGCAGACTTGTACCAGATGTGGTACAAGCCCACTAAAATTTACTAAAATTTGAAGGCTTATTTTTGTCATTCCAAATGTAAATGTAAAAAGATAGCTGCCTTATTTTATAAAACTCCTCAGTCACTCAATCACATAACTGCTTACAGTATTCAAAAAAGGTTTCCTTTTTTAACACAATTGTTAATATAAAAACAAAATTCTTAACAGAACTTTTTTTTGAAGTATGGATATTAGCTGGCAGGATTTTGTTTGTGCTACACCTCAATTTTCAGACCACAGAATTTGATTGGATTGCAGCCTGGGGAAAAAAAAAAGAAGTTTCATAATTAGAATGTATTAGAATCTTCCTTCTTATGGCTGGTATGGTCTGTTCACATACACATTTCCTTCAGTCATAACCAAAATGCTAAGTTCAAGTTTTCCATAACAAGAAAAAACAAACATGGCAAACTATTTTATATATACTGTGGTATACCTTGCATATTTTGGTCTAATTGCAAACTTCACAAACCATAGTTTGATGACTGACTATAAAAAAGTGATACTTTTAAAATGAAAATGCATGTTAAAACAATTGCTCTCCAAAACCAGAAGAGTATGATACTTCCCTCAGCTATTTCTGGGATTGTTTTTGAGGCAGTTAACTTTAACAACTGTAAACACAGTATGTTGTATACATGTTTTTATTCAGTACAGATGCATTGTTTAAATTACAAACCTGAAGTGCTTGTTCAGCACATAAAACATACAAGTCGGTGCTGAAGCTATCTGGGTCAAGTGCAAATTTTTCTTCATTGGCTGATTTGATCAACTCGTAAGCTCTCTTCAAAGCCTGAACATCTGCAGTAAATAAGGAATAAAGAATTTATTCTTCAAGGTGGATTGACTGACTTGATTGCATTCAAATGAGCTATGTGATATGCTGTCTCCTCTTCACAGAATTAAGAATGTTTAAGAAAAATAGTATCAAACACACGTTGTTCAAAGTCATATGATTTTAGGATGAAGCATTAGTAAGTCTTTTGCTATTTGGAATCACTAANGTGAGGCCGGGCCTGCCCCGGTCTCGGGCTGGCGGGTGGCACCGGTAACGACTGGTGGCTTCCCGGGGGTGGAAGCAGCCCTCAGAAGTGCTCTCACTGGTAACTTTTGTCCCCGTCTTGCAAGCTCCTGACGTGAAACTTTTTGAGATAAAGCAAACGCCGCCCGCCGGTGAAGCTTTGGTCTGAAACAGAACAAAATGCCCAAGGACATTTGGACCATATCTGCCAGTGCAGGAAGAAGACGTAGGTGAGGGTAAATAAACCTTTAGAGAACAACAGTCCAGAAAAGAGAGACAGTAAAAGAAAAAAAAGGAAGCTGCCTGACTGCACTGACATCAAGACATACCAAATGAAGTGTTTAAGCCTTCACCGCTGCCTCTCAACTACTTGGTCATGCAGGATTCTAAGACGGAAATCATCGTGATCATGAAGACAATTCAAGGCTTACATGTATTAATGCAGTTTTAAACCTAAGCCCTTTGCACTTTGAGCTAAACTGAAATTCTGGACCAGTAGGGCATTTCCACACAAGGGTTTGCACAGAATTCAGGAGTAGACTCATTCTTAAACCCTACCAGTACTACCTACCCCTGGGCCATTCAGCCCATTTAAATTAAATAACTATCTTGTTTCTATAAATGTCAGTGAACACAAATAAAACTAATATGAAAACTAGGTGGGCAAGGAAAGAGAACCGTATAGCAAACCTGTGTCGATTTCTGATGCAGAAAGCAAATATTGGTCATGTGTAATAATGTTAGTAGTAATAACAGTGGCTTACTCTGGCTTACTATTATATGCATCAGTGTTTGTACCAAACTTTGTACCTCCTGCAGGACTCAGCTACAGGCCAGACACTTCTGGATGTCTATTGGTAGAATCCCAGACAGAGGTAGGACTAGTGTGTCCTGACAGAAAAATCAATATGTGGAAGCTCTACTGACTCAAGAAGAGGCACTTCTGAAATGTAGATAGTAGTCAAAATGGCACCCCCATAATATAAAGTCTCAAATTATTCCACTTATTATTCATCCTCATTAAATACCCGTGCTAAGAGTCTGGCAGTATTATCCCCAATTTCAATGAAAAATTACCGGCTACATAATGAAAAATGGTCACATGGTTTGTGATACAAAAGTGACTATTAAAATCTACTAATTATGTCATGGTAAAATGACTAGGAAAATACAGAAAGGAAACAAATGAGACCAAGTTAAAATCACCCACTTTAATTAATTTTTAAATAAACTGAAAGGAAATCAAAGAACTTGATTTTTTAAAAAAGTGTAGATTTGGAGGATGGTCATTTATTACTTAGCGAAACTTTCTGACTTCTCTTAAATTGTAACCCAATATAGAATGACTGGTACTCAAATCTGGAAACTAAGAAATATGTATTCATCCTCCCAGTTGTTACCCAACAACAGTTACGACTTTCTGATGCTTGATAGAAATCAGTGAGTAATTGCTGATAGCTTTTGCTGTGTCCTTTACTGCCACTAAAGTCACCTTTGTTTGTACAAATAAAGAGATTAAAGTCATCATGTTAACCAACATAATAAAAACTTTAAAAATAGAACATCTCCTGTAAATGGTCAAACAAAAGTGCATCAGGGAGGTTACTTCACACTCCATTTGCCTTTTATAGGAATTCTTTTACTTTCCCTGAATAGATGAGGTACTGGATTACGTGCCTGATTTTCCAGTCCTCCTACAGGCAAGGTGACCCTAGAGAGAATGGGAAATAGTACTGACCTAAGATTCTGTAATGAGAATAGAACAGAATGTCAAAGGAACCCCTGGTTTGCTCTATGTGCTTTTTTATCATAATTACTTTCTGATTCTTCTGTGCTCTGGCTTGCAGATTCAAACATTTCACGTGTTACAAGTTTGTCCTTCTCAGAGGGCTTTTCCGTAGTGGTTTTTTTTTAACATGTAAGAGAGTACAAAAATGGTTTTCCATAGCAGTTTCCCTAAGGCCCCACGGGTGGGATAACACGAGTGGCCGCCAGGGCTCCCCCCGCGGCAGGGCCCGCCCTGTGGCGCAGGCGCGGTGGCTCAGCGTGGTGCGGTGGCTCTGCGGGGCCGCGGCGGGGCTATGCGCGGGGCCGGGGCGATGCTGGCCCTGCCGGCCCTGCTGGCCCTGCTGCCCGCCCGCAGCCCCGCGGGCTCGGCCCGCCGCTCCGCCCGCACCAGGTGGGCAGGGCACGGGCACCCGCCTTCCCAGACACCGGGCCCGGGCCCAGGCTGGAACCGCGGCTCGGCCTCCCGGGTTTGGCTGCGCGGGGGCCGCGGCCCCGGGGCACCGGCACAGCGCCGGGGGCTGGGAGGGGACGCACCGGGGCCGGGAGGAGCGCGGCTCGGTTACTCCGCGATGGGGCCGCTGGCGGTGGGAGCTGGGAGGTTCGGTCTCGTAGTAAAAGGAGCTTTGTGCGGTGGGGAGGCGGTCCAGCAAGTCCGGACCGCGAGATTCCGGCAGTGCGGAGGATGGTTTCGGTTACTGCGGAGTAAAATCTGTCTTTGCGGATTGCGTTTGGGATGAGGACCGACAGCAGCTGTAATGCATGGACACTGAATTTTTTTACCACTTTTTCTTCCAGGGAGTTTCAGAATGATTTCTGAATACAGTAATAGAGAGTCTCCACAGAGTTACTGCAATGACAAGAGAGGCTTTCTGTAATTGACTATGAGTGCATCTAAATTGGTGAAAAGTAATCCTGTGTTCTGTTGCTGGCATTGAGTAATGTAAAATAGGAAATTTTGCAAGGATAGCCTTTTTAACAGTTTGCTGGGTGTGGGGGGCTTGTCTTCGCAGGTCTGTGAGTCAAGTGTGTGTGGAAAAGTCACTCATTTTCAGAAGTAACACCCCTTATCCTACAGACATCATTGCTGTCCCTGGTGGACACGATCTGTTCTGTGTACAACTGAATGACTGTAAGTAACCTTTCTTCTCAAGCATTTCGTTCATAGATTGCCTCTGCTTAGGGAATCTTTTTTTTTTAAACTGATACGTTATAATTATTTTGGCTGTTCCAGAGAGAGCGTAATGAATCGGGGTCTGATCACCAAAGGCAAACACAAATAAAGATGATTGCACTCTATGTAAGAGTAGCACAAATCAGTCTTTATCGATTGCTTGTGTATCTGAGATACTTTAGTTAGTTTGGTACAGCAGCAAGTAAGGATGTTTGAAACTGGGTCAAGAGGGAATCACTGTGGAATACCATGCAAAAGTCTGGTTTTTAGGATGCCTATTGTCTATTTATACTTACTTTTGAGTTTTACCAAGCTTAATTATTTTGAATCCATTTAGTGTTGCTTTTAATGATATCATAAATTGGTAGTGCTTTGTAATTAAAATGTCACGTGTGTCTAATTTGGGTATCTCATATCTCACAGAAATGACAGCACATATTAAAATAGTTGTAAAGCATTTTTCATGCTTTTTGGAAACTCATTTTGTGTATTAACATCTGTTAATGAATCATGAACAGTACAAACTACTCATGATGTCATCCTATTCCTAGACCATAATAGCCTGTTAGAAGTGTTAAGTTGGGTTAATTAATATAAGGCACTATCTATCTTACAATTACTCAAGCTGTTTCTTTTAAAAATGTTGGCACAGTATTTACTTTTACCTTTTGTAGTAATTTGACATTGGAAGATTTCTTTTTTTTTCTCTTTTCAAACTCTAGCAAAGTTGAACTATTTCCAACAGCCCCAGGATATCAAAGAATCTGATTTTATGAAGTTCTTAGAGAAGTATGGCAGACACTCTTTCATAGCCCCATCACAAGTCCAGCCATTGTTCTCTGCTTTTTACCGTGTGAGTTGAAATCATAATCAGGTTGCACATACACTTCTACTAAAGCTGTCTGATGAGATCTAATGACAACAGATTGAAGGAGTCTTATTTTTGTACCTATAATCCATATTGTCACAGAGTTGTAGCATATCCTGAGTTAGAAGGGACCCACAAGGATCATCCAGTCCAACTCCTGGCCCTGCCCGGGACACCCCAACAATCCCACCCTGTCCCTGAGAGTGTTGTCTTAAACACTCCTTGAGCTCTGGCAGCCTTGGGGCCATGACCACTGCCCTGGGGAGCCTGTTCAGTGCCCAAACACCCTCTGGGGGAAGAACCTTTTCCTGAGATCCACCCTAACCCTGCCCTGGCACAGTTCCAGACATTCCCTGATTTGTCTCTCTGCCCTGATGATGACATCACCTTGTATTCCACAGTAACTTTGTGATTTCTCCAAATTGTCTTTTCAGGCTGGTGATCCAATCCTAATCTACTTTGATTCATCATCTGTACTGAGCACGCTCAGCCAGCCAGTAAAAATGGGAGCCAGTGGACTTTGTGTTGATGGAAATCCTGCTGGTTAGTAAAGGGGGAAGAACATCTTAGGGTGATTTGCTTCTGTTTGATCTGTTGTCATGTCTTAACTCAGGCTTCCTGGACAGTAAAAGTACAAGCTGTACTCGGATTTTTGCCGATTTGAGCAAGAGCTGCGTGACTGACCCTGCCCTCAATGCTGCCTCTTACTACCAGGATTTCACTGTGCTGAAGGTGCATGTCAGATTTCTTGCTTTTGTGCAAAATCATGGTTGCTTGACTTTGCACTGCTTTCCTCTGCAACTTCAGCTGACTGGAAAACTGAAAGTTGTCTGGTCTGTCATCCCTGATGTCCCAGTTGTTGAGGCCTTCTTGCTGGGACACCTGCTGAAAATGTTGGGATTGGTGATAATCCTTCAAATTACTTTCAGATAAATTTCAGTTATTAGCAAATTCTTAATGGATTTAACAAGTGCCTCACTGATTCTTCATAGTTTTAATGGTTTATGTAGACTCTCTTGCATTTTAAACTGACTGTTTTTCAGAGTATTTCTGATCCATCAGCTTGATCAACCAAGTAGTGCATGTTCTCAGTAAAGAATGAGGATTTGTTTTACACAATATGTTACCTCTAAAATCATATTGAAGGCCCCTTATCAATATTAGCTCTGTTTACAGTCATAGATTGAATTCCATATCAACTTCTCCACTATTTATTTTGATTTAATTTCAAAGTAACAGATTTACTGTTCTGGGTTCATTGTGCTGGTCTTACTGAGTGTTTATATGAAAATATTTCCTTTTGCCTTCTAGAGTTTCTCTGGTGTTCCATGAGAAAACAACACTGTAAATATGAACTCCTTACTAATGCTGATAACTGTTTCCCCTTATATTGGAAATGTAAATCAGCATAAATGTAGCAGAGAGTATTCTATTGATCAGATTTAACTCATGTTTTCAGGGCTTTCTTTGTCATTGTGGCCAAAATTCAGTTTTTCCTTAATTGGAAGCTGAAGTAATTACTTGATGGCAGAGAGGGAGTTCCAGGAACGGATCAGAGCTTTGATACTTCAAAGTATCTGCATTTTGCAGGACATTAGCAAGGCCAAGATTAAATTTGTCTTCTGATGTTCTAAAATGCATTTTGTGGATTAGGTCTGTGATTTATAGATCACAAAATGATGACAAGTTTTACACGTCTGGAATAAACCGAGTAATTATGTCAATATAATATGTAGGTTCTGTTTAGTGATGATTTCATGACTTCAGGCACTTGCAAACACAGAAATTTACTTGGGGTTTTTTTTGGTCTTATATATTGGTTTGTTTGTTTTCCCCAGGTCCCAGTTAGTGGCACCATTGTGCAGTCCATGAAGGTCAGTCTCTGTTTCCAATGAAAATAATTTCTACTTCAGAAATGAGACATACTTGGAATCTTAAGCATTCATAGTAATGTCCATGGGTTGGAAACTTGGGAGAATGGGAATATGCTGTGTCTGAGACAAGTTGTTTTTTGGCAAAAGTGTGATATTATAGGAAAAAATGGGGATATAAGGAAGGATGTGCTTTTAAATGAATGGGCACAGATAGGGCTAAAGTCAGGGAGGTAGCTTGTTTTCTTGTTAAAAAATTGGGCATCTGGAGCAGGATGGTGTGCCCACAGATCACAGCAAGGAGGTAAACCTGGCTTGTGTGGAAAAACAGTGGAAAAGAGTAAAGAATGCACACTGCTTTTAAACAGTTAATAATTGCTCATGTGTTTCCTGTCTCCAGGTAAATGTCACTGCAGTTGCACCGCCTGGAGCTCCCCAGATGAGAGACAACACATGTATCAACGTGGTTTCGGAGGTCCGTGAATCTCCTCTGTGCAGCTTAACACAAAGTCATTGCCCTGTGACCTTGCTCTGTCTCTGACTTTCCTCTGATTTGGGCTTTCAGGTGATCTATGAGATAGAATACAGTGGCACGAGTGGGATTCAGAGTGTTTCTGTCCAGTTCAAAGTGAGCAACATCTCTGGGAACGTTGGATCCTCTCTGCAGCAGCACTTCACCTTGCACTTCTGGGTCAGTGCCCCCACCCTCCCTGGGCTTTTACCAAGCTTGTAGTCTGTAGTTCCTGACCGATTTTGATACAGATGAGATCTGAAGATATTGGAGCAGTGTCACTGTGTTGGAGCAGTAACAGAACCCTGGGATGCAGATGATAGTTGAAGGCAGGAGGAGATGCATTTCTAGTCTCAAGTAAACCATGCTAGTAGAAAAATTCAGGTTCAGTGCAAGCTCAAGTGCAGTCCTGCATTGCACAAATATCAAGAGGCTAATTGTTTTTATCTGATTATTTTTGCTGTTGTTTTGGTTTGGGTGTGGTTTGTTTGTTTGTTGTTGTTGTTTGTTTTTTGGTGTTTTTTTTGTTGAGATGGAAGGCAGTCACCAGCATGGTTTTGTGAAGGAAAGGGTTGAAGCTGTTGGTTTATCTGAGATGTTCAGTGTTTGGGAACAAAGTTTGCTAAATTTATTCCAAGTACTTATTTAACTTTGCCTGTGCAGCAGAAAAGAGAGTTACTTTGGAGGGAGTGGAAATCTCAGAAATGCTAATGTGTGTTAAGTTCACATAAATCTTGTCCCGTAGAGGGATGTAAAGTTGGGTAAGTGATGACCTCGGGGGTTGATAAATATGCAAAGCAACCTTGTTGAAGTTGGCCCCAGAAGGTCTCACCATAAAACAATTTAGAAGTGGAATGTGCCACTAAGAATCAGGGTCAAGGCAGGGTTTGTTCTGCAGTTCATCTGTAGGATTGCCCAGACTGATTTGTTCACTTCCTCAGACACAAATGCTGAGCAATAAGAATTCATTGTCCTGAGAGCTTTCCTGGCAGTATCCTCATTTCAGGTACTGACATTTAGTTTTTTACTTCCTGGACTGCAAGTGAACTTTCCGGGTAAGAAAGATACTTCGGAAACAAATAATGGGAGTTTTAGTAGTGCATAATATTCAGTCATTCAAAAAAAGACTAACATTCAAAAAAAGACTAACATTTTTGAGAATATGAATTTGATCTTTGGAGATGAATGGATTTCATTGGTGCCAATATTTTCCTCTTCTTCTGTGTCTTCCCTCTGCATCTTTGCAGACCAAGACCCTCTCTCGTACGTTGCCCAGAAGTGGAAACCCTGGCTATATCACTGGAGCACCACTGTTAATTGCGAACAGTGGTGCCATGCAGCATGTATCCTTTCTCTGCTACCAGTTTTTATTTATCACTGAGTTTCTTGACTTCCAGTACTCCCTTGTCAGTCCTCTGATAGGGAAAAGGAGGAATGCGGGCTGAGTGGATTGTTAAATACAAGATGAGTGTCCTATACTGTCTGTTTATGCTTTTGTTTGTCTCCTTGACATGCAGTCTGTCAGATGAGCATCTTACAGAGTGAAAGTGATGGGAGTTGCTCACAGTTCCTCAGACACACAGTGCAGTTCAGGAGGAACATGAGAACAGGCTGCAACCTCAGGTAACACCCTCTGCACTTGTCCTTCCTGACACACTCAGAAGGTCTGGGCTCACTCAGCATGTCTGTTCTGCGGTGCTGTGGAGTCAGGGCCCTTCCCTGAGTTTACCAGTGGGTCTCTACAGATCTTTCATATCCTCCTAAGAGAGCTCGGACATCAGAGAGGTGGGGGACCACTAGAATAATCTGAACATTGCGAAGGCCTTCTGGGACATCATGAGGCTGTAGTCTGACAATATATCTTGGACAAGAGTAGAGTTTATACTTGAGGAGTGAATTACAAAGGAATCTTAAAAAGGGATTGTTTTGATGATTTGGATTGTTCTTTTGGCAGGGCAGGTGTAGGACCACTGGTGTGATAAGATGGCTGAAGAGCTGTCAGTTTTCCTTATTATGCATTACCCTGCCATATTTTTCTCCCTTCCCATTGCAGAGATGATTGAAACTGCATCTGTTTAATACCAATACTTGTTGACTTATTACATGAGCAGAAGAAATACTACAAAGGCAGAATGTTGATAGTGGGGTTTTTGTCCTGGAAATCACTTTGTCAAAGCTGTTATTTTCTCATTTCCAGCCTATCCCCGTTACTGGAAGAGAGTAACTGCAGTTACGTCCAGCAGAAGTTATACAAGGCTTTTCAGGGGATGAACAAAACAGAGGCCCTTGCTATGATTGGCAGTGCTCATTCAACCCAGACGGAAGAGTGGACAACCATTCTGGTTCAGAGCTGCAGTGTGCAGGTAATGTGAATGCAAGAAGACCAGCTGGGAGTATTTTTCCTTTCATATCTTTGTACTGCCTCAGGGAAGTGTGGGCATCTGGACTTCCTTTGTGTGATGATCCTGTGACTCTTAGGAACCTTAATACCTGTAAGGTTCATACTGTTAGGGTACTTAACAAAAGAAACCCCAACAAACCCTGACAGATTTCATATCTCTTGAATTCTGTTCCTGCTATCTAAATGGGCAAAAAGAGTTTAATGCTGAATCCAGTGTTGTATTACATAGTTTTCTGACAGCCTTTTAGAACTAATAGTACCTGGTTACTTGCTATTAATTTGATGTTTTTATTGTTATCATCCTTTCTGATTTTCCATTTTCCAGGGATATTTATGTATCACCTAATAAGGTTAAAAGGTTGCAACCAAAGTACTTTTATATTAATAATTAATAATCTGTCAGATGGCCTCATGAAATACAAAATCCAAGTGATACAGCTGAGACAAATTCTGTTTAAAAGTGAGATGGATACAACTCCAAAAGGGGTGGTTGACCTGACCAGAAATTAGGGAGTTAGTGCCGAAGTGACCTCTGCTATCCAAAATATTAGACTTGGACCATAATGGTCCTTTTTCACTTTGAAAATACAATATTAAGTTGATTGGAGTATATTTTATTTTCAGGCTGTGAATTGCTCTTCCTGTTGTGTGGTTCCTGTGACCCTGGAGATTCAGATACTGTGGACTAAAGTGGGCCTCCTGTCCAACCCCCAAGCTCAAATACTGGGTGCACGATACTTTTACCAGTGTCGCCCCCTGAAGGTATGGAATTAAAACCCCTTTGGAGAAAACCTCTTCTTTAGCCCACACTGCATGGCTGCAGTTGCCTGAGTGACTGACCAGAAAACAGAGAACCCGGGAAAGACATCTTGATTTCTCCACCCATCCACAGTATCTGGTCATAGTTGTATTTGGACTCCCTGAAAATACAGGGCGTTCTTAAGTGATGCAGAGCTCTACAAGAGCGTGCTGGAAGTTTCTTGTGGTTGCCTTCTCTCAGCTGTTGAGCAGGGGTTGTATATGGGCTTTTTTCCCTGCACTAATCTCTCTGATTTTAAGGCAGATTTTGATGGTCCAGACACAAAATTGATCATCTTGAGGTTTCTCATTCACAAAGGCAATTGGGCCTACTATGTGTTTACTCATTGATAGGAGAACTTAACATTCATCAGAAGGGAGGGGAAAATTCTAATTGTAACTGCTCAGCAGTGGTAGTTTGTAGCTGAGGACTGATCTGGCAGGGAGGGCAGGAAGGGGTTAAGCTGCCTGGAAGCAGGGATGCTAGGACACTTTGCAAGTGAGTGAAGTTTCCAGGTGATGAGGTAAGAAACAGCCTCAGCTTTGTAGTGTAGCCATTCTGGAATGGGAATGGTCAGGAGCCACCTTTGGACAGCAGAGCTGGACTGGGGGATGGACCCGCTGGGGGATGGACCTGCTGGGAGCTGGTGCTCCCAGGATGGGTGCTGTTGGTGGAAGTGTACACAAGGAGTCTGCTCGTGATGCATCTTTGCAGACCCAATGTAGAACCATGTAGGACTGTACCCAATGCATTGTTCATTCTGGTTTTCTTTTCTATTTAAGCACACCAGTGTTTTTTAATTTGCTGTGAGAGGTACCACAAAAATTCCCCAAGAGGAGTCTCAGCCTTTTTGTCTTAAGAGTCATGAATTCTGTCTTGCAGCTTTTTTGAATGCTTCCTACAGAACTTTGCTCTTAATGCAATCCTCCAGATTCTTCTCGGGGAAGTGTGGTGATTTCACAGGCTGACTTAAAGCAGTGCAAGCACGGCAGGTGTGCTGCCAGGAGCTTCTGTCTCTATGTTATCATGCAGGGCTGGGGAATGGGGCAGGGAGTGAGGTTGCTCTTTTGGCACCAGCATGTTCTTAAATCAGCCCAAGGTAGCCATGAAACTGCCCACAGCTGAAGGAGCGAGTGTATTAGTTGTCTTGCAGCATTCTGTTGAAACAGAAAAGAACTGAGGCCTTAGAAGTTCAGTCCCCTCTTCCATCTTTACCCATCTGTCTCCTTTCTAAAACAACATCCTCAAACTTGAGAAATAAATTTATTGTTGTATTGGGTCCCTGCTTTATTTTATTGATATTTTACTGAAAGGATTTCATCTTGTGGTAGTTCAGTCTGTTTCTGGCAGCAAACACTTGTCCAAAGGGCCAGGTGATTTTATCTTACATACAGTTTATAATTTTATAAAAAATAAAGCTAGCTTTGCTTCTGTTCTTATTACTAGCTAGCTGATACATCTCTCCTCTGAGTAAAAGACTTGCTCTAGCAGAGCTTGAGTCACTGCTGCCACTCTGGAGATCTGTAACATACAATGCACAGTAGCTACTTGTCTTTCCCTGAATTTACCTGCTAAGTATCAATTTGAGGAAAGAGGGGTTACTGAACACTTTAGACACTTAACTCCTACCGTTGTAAAGACATCTTGCTCGCCAGTCATCTGTGGTGGGTGTCCATTAGAGAATTGAGGGGGGATGTATATTTTGCATTGTCTGCTAACCTTGCTTTCCCTCTTGTTGCAGCTCCTGAGCACACAGACAGTACCTGTGACAACTGTCGTTACCTTCACTGACATGACAGAGTGGCCAGAACCACCCCGGGGCCAGCCCCAAAGGCACTGGAAACTCCCATTTGACATCTTTTTCCCATTCAAGGTGGCACTGAATTTAGAAAGCAGTTACAGAGTTGATCTGACTGGCTGTTTTTTGTTTATTCTAATAATTTCTGGTATTCTCTGCTTTTGAAAAATAGGTGAAGCCTGTACTTAAAATCAGTAAGTGAATTGGTACATTCCGAATATGACCCAGATCACAGGCTCTTTTCCTCAGGTTCTTTTACTGTGCCTGTAATATCTCTGTGCCTTCTGTTCTTGGATTAAGCCAGGGGACCAGCTTCTGTCCTGGGTCCTCTCATGCCCCTGTTCTCTGTATGTGCCACCTGTGAACATCACTGCGGTGAAACTGAACTGAAAATGACAGCCACTGGAGTTCTCAGTGGCACATCAGAGGGAGTTGGGAATGGTTCTAAAGTTAAAAAATCGACAATTTTAGCAAGAATTTTTAGATGTATTATTAGACTGAAGCTTACCTCTGGCTCGGTCTCTGGGACCAAGTTTACTGTTTGCAAAGTTAAAGGGGATGTCCTGACTTTCTGGTCTGCCCCATTCCATCACATGGGACATCTGATCAATTGTTGAAAGAAGTTGTTGGATGAAAGTATGTTTTTTAGCAAAATTATCTTAAATTCTTCAGAAGATGGAAAAATCTGCCCCATACGATGCCAGGTACTCAAGTGGAATCAGTAGGGGGCAGGATGATCAGAGCCTCTTGTTAATAAAATGTATTGGTTGCTTTTGTACATAAACTGCGTGTAGCAAATTTGTTGCTCTCCCTCATTACAATCTTTTAAAAAAGGGTGCAAAAATAAGCTGAAAACCTTGTAATTAGTCAGGGTATCAAGGGACATAACATGAATCAAAATAAAACCAAACATGCAGATTTTGGGGTAACTTCACATATTTACCTTTGTGAGTGTTTGCATGGTTTATTAGCTGGGAAAGAATTCCATGCAAGTGTCTGCTGCTTCCATGGATTCTGATTCTGGGGCAGCCCGTGCAGGCTGCTCTGAACACTTTGTGTTCCAGTGTTATGCAGGGTTGCTGGTTCCAGTACAGCAACAAGCTTGGATTTTTAGGTAGATGTGGCTTCTCAGAGTTTTTAGTGGAACACATCTGTAGTGTGTCCCGTGTCCTCTGATGCCCCTGATGTGTGGAATCCAGAAAATTAATTTACAGGTGACAGTCACTGAATTAACAAGGGGTTAGTTGGAGAAACTTCCCAAAAGTCACACTGCAAGTGTGTCATGATATAGCTTGAATGAAAAGGATCTGGCGTCCCTATTTTCTGCATTATTGAGATAATTGAATTAAGTGTGACTACAGAGATACTGTTTATCTATGAGCTGCAAATACATGAAGTACGGTGAGAATGCATCACCTTATACTGCAATTCTCTGCCATACCCCAACCTCCAACATGTCATATTTTCTAGCTCATGTTTGGCTCCTCTGACATTTTGTCGTTGTAAGAAATGGAGCTGGAAAGAGGCTTGTCCATAACCTGTTCTAGCCTGAATTAAGGCCTGTTCAAATTCTAGCCATGCCCTAGCAATGGATGCGCATTTAGAATCTGCAGTTTCCTGTGACAGTGTTTACTTTGTCACAGTTCTGTCCCCACTGCCTGCTCTTAAATAGCCTCCTTTGCAATCCAGGATCAGGCACGGTGTGCCATTGTCACACACCAGGCGGGTTCGTGTGTCGGATGCTCAGGATGGAGTGTTGGTGCTCCGTGTGAAGGGCCGGGACAGCGCTGTGCAATGTCCCTGCTGCCAGCACTGCCAGCTGTCCAGCGTGCCCTTCTTGCGGCAGTAGGTCTGGTTTCACACTGTCCGAGTGAAGACGATCTTTACTGGATGATCTTTTGAGGTCCCTTCCAAGCTCGACCGTCGATTGTTGGAAGATGCAATTTTGGGTTTCAAAGCAGGAGCAGCTGCAGAGACCGCGGGCGGGGCCGGAAGCGACGTGAGGCGGCGGCGGCTGAGGCTGAGGCTGAGGGGAGCCGGGCAGGGCAGAGTAGAGCCGAGCCGAGCCGAGCCGAGCCGAGCCGAGCCGGGGAGAACTGGGCGGTGAGTAGAGCCGGGCTGGGCAGAGCAAAGCTGGACAGGCCCGAGCAGCCTCGGCCGTGCCCGCCGTCCGTCGGTGCTGCCCGGCCCGGGAGCGGCCGAGGGATGATGAGGGCTCGGGGGAGAGGAGAGGGGTCTCAGCCTTGGCGCTGCCGGCCTGCACCCTCTCCGCCCTTCTCCCGGGCCCCGTAGGCTTCCCGGAGCCGCTGAGACTCGCGGTGCCGGTGTGTCGGCTGTCCCGGTGCTGCCGCCAGCAGTGACCGGGAATCGCAGTTCGGTCCCCTGCGAGCACCAGGCGGGCTGGCTGGAGGTGCAGGGGCCTCCTCCCCCCGGGGCCCTGTGAGAGCAGAGCTGCTGCTCTGGAGGTTTGCTTTCCTTGCTGGTGGTCTCTTGTGACTGCTTATGAGATCTCTCCGTGCCCCGAGAAAACATTTAAACCCACCTGACACTTGCCTGACACCTAAGAGGCACTACCTCGGTATTGACCTGACTTGGTGATAAGCCTGTGTTCTTCACATAGTGTTCTTCACAGTAGACAGAACAGGATCAGATTAGAGGGGTTTTTAAGTAACCTGTAGCCCTCTGAAAAACCTAATAAAACTGTAGATAAAGGAGACTTAATGAGCAAGGCTTACACGGTTTACCAAAAGCCTTTGGCAACTGTCTCCATACTATGAAGTCAGAGTTTTATTTTCTTAAATTAATAATATCTCAAATATTTGCATAAATGCTTATATCTGAGCTGACTGTACTCTAAAATTGATGGATACTTGGAAGTGTTAACCTTCTTTCTCTTCCCAGATTTGCTTGAGGACACGGAGAGAAGCAATTACAAAGGGTTAAAATAAAGTTTTCTTCTTCCCTGTTCTATAGTAAAGTATTTATGTTTAGTCACTTCAGAAACTACATTACCTTTTCCAGTTTGTGTCAGTGAATATTTTTGTTGTGTAAACTGCTTTACTGATTTACTTCTGTGTTTGCTGTATTACCTTGCTCTGCTAAACTGCTCTGGACTGGATTGTTATAAAAAGCACATTCAATAGCAAAGTGAGCATCTTTCAGGCTTAGCTTCAGTAATTTTTCAGCTGTTCTTGTTGCACATTGTGTTAGTAGGAATATGAAAGCAATGCTATTTTTGTTTTTCTGCAACATCCAGGGAAGAAAACACCTGAGAGTCACTGTGCATGATACTCTGAAAAGTCAGTTCCAGATGTAGTGAGAGTCAAAAAGCAAACAGAATGGTAGAAATTATCACTTGATGAATGCAGAATAAAAAAAAAAAAAAAAAACAAAAACAACATATTATGCCACTATATAAATCCTTGTTTTGTTCAAATTTGAGTCCTCTTGTCAGTTCTGAACAGCATATTGGGTGATATGCTGTACTCTGTCTGGGCTAATTGGGGAGGTGGAGGAAGAGCAATGGAGACAATTGTATATATGAAATAGCCGTGATGTGAGGAAAGCTCTGAGGGCAGAGCTCACCGGTGTCTGCAGCTTCCTCTCGAGGGGCAGGAGAGGGGCAGCTCTCATCTCTGCTCCCTGTGAGCAGTGATAGGGCCAGAGGGAACGGCTGGAGCTGCGACAGGGCACGTTTAAGTTGAAACTCAGGAGAAGGTTCTTCCCCCAGAGAGTGGTTGGGCACTGAACAGGCTCCCCAGGGCAGTGGGCACCTGCCAAAGCTGACAGAGCTCCAGGAGCATTTGGACAACGCTCTGAGGTACAGGGTGGGATTGTTGGGGTATCCTGGATAGGGGCCACGAGTTGGACTAATGGTCCCTGTGGGTCCCTTCCAGCTCAGGAGATCCTACGGTTCTAAATGAGTCTCTGAGGGGTTCGTGCTACAGCGGAGAAAAGAAAGGATATCAACGGCCTAAGGAGCTAAAGCCACTCTCACAGGTGTGGCTGCACAGCCCTCTCATCTGCTGTCTGCGGACGTGTGAGAACAGGGCGAGTCCAGGTGAAGGAGGCTGAGGGAGATGGCTCAGCAGCCCGTGCCGTGGGTAGGGCTGTCTGGACTAGTCGGGGACTAGGCAAAGCGGTTGTTAACGCTGTAATTTGTAAAGCCCAGGATTTTGTGCTGCAACGTGGAGCCGGGTTACATCATCTGCGGGACGGCGGGGGTGGCGGGGGCACGGCGGTGCCCGTGGATTGGCTGTGCCGGCACGGAGAGGGCCGCGGATTGGCTGTGCCGGCACAGCGGGGCCCGCGGATTGGCTGTGCCGGCACGGTTGGGCCCGCGGATTGGCTGCGGTGGCAGAGCGGGGCTCGGGGATTGGCTGCGGTGGCGGCGCGGGGCCGTCCGGGGTGCGCGGCCCGGCCGTGCGCGGGCGCTCGTCGGCGAGAGCCGCGTCGGGAGGCGGCGGGTGCGGAGCGCGGGTGGTGCGGGCTGGGGCGGGGGGTCCCGGGAGATTCCCAGGAGATTCCCGGTCGCTGCGGTTCGCGGGCCCGAGCGCTGCGGGACAGCCGCGCGGCCCCCGGGCTTCACCCCCTCGGCAGGGACGCAGCCGAGGGGCCCGGCCCTGCCGCCGGTGCTGCTGCTCCTCCTGCTCCTGCTGCTGTAGAGCCCCGGTTTTGCTGCGGTCCCCTCTGACAGAGCCGGGCTGGCACTGCGGAGCAGCACGGGGGGCTCTCGGGAGGCTTCCGGGGCCGGGACACGGGGCGGCCCCACCGGGATCCTTCAGGGCAGGAGGAGCCGCGTGGCACTCTCTGCTCTGAGTCGCCTCTTCCCTGTGCGCGGAGCTGCTGCAGATCCCGGCGGAGCTGTTCGCCAGCTGCTCGAAGGGCCATTTGTTTGAAGGATTCCTTGATTTCAGGCAGCTCTTCTGAAGTGGCGCCCCTCTGGAAAGGTTTCTAGGGTGTAAGCTTGCACAGAGAACTGCAGATGAGTTTTGTTTCTTTCCCCTTTGCAAAAGTTTTAGTTGGTAAGGTGATGAAGCAGTTTAAATAGGAAAAGCTTCTGCATGTCACAGAGGACTGTTTTGTGTTGTGGTAAAGACTACATGGTAATTGTGTGCATTTCCTTGGAGTTTGATTTGCTTCTACTTCTTTATTTAAGTGTAGTGCAGAATAGCTCTTTCTATCACTTTGGTTTCCAGATTTTTTTCACTTGGAATGTCCTAACACTGAAGTATTTGCCTTTATATATAAAACTGTGAGAAAAGTTTATTTAGTTTAATTTAATCAACTCACAGCAAATACTTGTAGAAATCCTATGAGTTTGCAGCCAACAGACTGAAAAACTGGTGTTACAGATTGTTGTTATTCAAGGCACGAGTTTTAGGGCTTCAGATCTCTGATTGCTTTGGAAGGTGACTAAGTCTATGTACACTGATCTGTCGCAGAATAAATGTACTGTGCTACTTAACAGCTGTTTTGAAGATAAATGAAAACTAGCCAATAGCATTGCTTTCTATTAGCAATCATATATGGACAACTTCCATTATTTAAAGAGATAATGGGAAAATTATATTTTTTAAAGGTTATTTTCGGAGGCTAGTTTAGAAGAAGTAGGGTTTTCTGGTAATGGAAAGAAAAAGTAAGCTAGGGGAAATACCTGAATAATGCATTTTGCATTTTTTCTATTGCTCCCTCTAAGTAAAGAAGTATTTTATAATTGTTTGTATTTTATTTTTAATTATGTAACTTTTTTTGTTTTGTAACTGAAGAGCAGAACCATTCCAGGCATGAAAATGGTGGAAATGTGAGTGGAATGGAAAATGAGGATTGAAATTAGCTTTAAGTCCTTGCCTGAGTGAGAGGAGAG